TTTGCCACCTGTTTTTCAAAGAATGAATGAACTCACTAATAGAACTCCACACTGCTATTATTTTGAACACGCCCCTTTCAATTAGTGATTCAGTTACACAGAATCAGCAGCACGCATGTCATGACTGTTGGGTCTGTTGGATTTCTATTACTCTACTACACCTGCTAGTAAATTATTTGCCATGTAGAAATATCATTTCTACCAAAAACAGTGATTGGTTAGGTTAGTGATGTCTGACTGCTATTATTTTGAACACAAATGTATATATATATATATATACTGTATATTTTTGATATTTCTGTATGAGTCCCATTTTCTCCTCACCCTGTGCATGGGGAGAGTATTTTGTATGTGCATACAACAGAAAGTCAACAGAGTTTCACCAAGTCTGCCTTTCCTTCAAAGTCTCACCCTACAATTTTTTCACTAATATATCTGGGAAATGCTTTGGCAATGCTTTGTCCAATCACAGCTGAGTTCTCAGGAAGAGCCATGATTGGCCAAAATCTTGGTGACTTTGGCCAATCATGGCTCAGGGAGTGTTTTAGCAGTAGCCTGGTTTATAGTGCACCAAGCACAAACATAATGCACCCAAGCACCAAAACCCCAAAAAGCACCAAAGTGGAAAAATTCCCTAAACAAATTCTCATCATGTCCAAAAGGCCAAGAAGGAGAGGCAGATACTCATAGGGCAGCTAAGAGAGGGCATGCAGCCTCCGTGTCCACAGTGAAAAGTGGTGGTCATGGACATAGTGTATCCTCTGTAGGCAGGGCAGGCTTGTCCTTTTTTTCTGGTCCTGGCCATGTTGTTGAGCCACAACATGCAGAAGTGATGATGTAGTGGATAATGCAGCCATCCTCACTGATTCATGTCCCTCAGGGCAGTACCCAAGTCCCCATACTACTTTTATGGCAAATACCTTGCATGTAAGCCTTAAAAATGGGCACTTTTTTCATTTGCAAGTTCGAGTTCCATAGACTTGCATTAAGTTCGATGTTCACGGCAAACTTTTGGTCCATTAGAATGTCCTACCGCAAACTGAAATGGGGGTGTTCGGCCCATCACTAATCGTTAGATAATTTTTCTTTTATTTTCTGAGGAGTAATGGTAGTGCTGTTTGATCTCCAGCCTTTTGAAATGAACACACACAAGAATCTTACTTACTTATATAAAATCCTAACTAAAATTAGGTAATTGTTTCTCCTATTGGACTATGGTGCGTGGGAATACACATCCTCCTTTTCAGTCTAAGTAAATGTATATGCCAGATTTGGAGATTTTGCTGTCAAGGTCCTACCTTTCCTCAGGGCTTGTGCTGCTCCATGTGCTGGCATCCATCTTAGGTGTCTGCAAAGCATTATTGGATCCTTTATGCTTTCAGCCCTCTGCGGCTCCTCCCCCAGGAGGTGGCGGCTTATCACATATAAGTCTGCTGTTTGTAGCTGTCCATTGCATTCGTGTCCTGTCTGTTGCACAGCAGCAAGCTCCTGTTTAGTTTCTCATTGCTCTCCTGGACACCGACTCGGCTTTGGCAAGACTCATTCCTGGCTTCTGACCCCGGCTCTGGTGACCATCCTTCCTGGCTTCTGACCCCGGCTCTGGCGACCATCCTTCCTGGCTTCTGACCCTGGCTCTGGTGATCATCCTTCCTGGCTTCTGACCCCGGCTCTGGCGACCATCCTTCCTGGCTACTGTTCTACCTAGTCATCCGCTGTTGCTGTTGGACTTGCATAGACTCTGTCTTGTTTTTGTTAATAAACCTACTTTTAATTGCACCTCCTTGTGTGTCTGGCTCCTCGCTCCCTGACATTTGCATCATTATATACAGCAGGCAGTAGTGTTAGTAATATTTGGTGGTATGGAAGTTATAACAAAGATTACAGACAGGATCGAGGTGGAAAGAACCCACATATAATAACAGCATCATACAACATGTGAACAGCCCTTGGTGTATTATACAGAGGTTATAGGAGCAAATATGTTGGTTGAGATAGTACAAAACACAATGTACATGAGTGATGAGTTGTCTACTTTATGAGTCTTGGAACTAATGAACCAAGACTAAACTCAGATGTACTAAATAGGACATGGGAATATGAGGATCACCTAATATAATTCTTTGTTGGCATGGGGAAAAAGATGATGGTGGGAAGTGAGAGACACCACACACCTTATAACAGACGGAGTGAGTGGGGGTAGGTGAGGGAAACAGAAGAAAAGAGGGAGAGGCTAGGGGAAGGAGAGTAGTTGACAAGAGAGAGTACAAGGGATAAGGGTGAAGGGGCAGAAGCAAGTTGAAGAGTAGACAGGGAGGGGGACTAAGGAGAAGAAAGGACTCATCAACAAAGTATGTTATGCTCAGGGGCGGACTGACAACTCATGGGGCCTCCGGGCAATAGGGGATCGTGGGGCCCCTGTGTCCTTACCCAAACTCAAAAAAGCCTATGAAAAAGGTACCAGGGGCATCTCATGGGGCTCCCTACTGACCCTGGGCCCTCGGCAGTGCCCAAGTTTCCAAATGGTCAGTCCGCCCCTGGTTATGCTATGCAGAAGCATGAAGGATATCCAAGGGAGCCAATTTTTTTTTTAATTGACAGTATTTGTCATGTAACTGAGCTGATAATTCTTCCATTCTCATGAGGTTATTCCATTTGATAATCTATTTTTGAATAGAGGATGTGAGCTGGGATTTCCAATGGCTCAGTATCACTGCTCTAGCATCTAGCAGGAAGAAACATAGTAGTTTGTTCCTGGTGGCAGGAATGGAGTCTGGAAACAAACTGCAATGTAATTTGAGGAGTCTGGGGAACTGAATCTGAGGCAGAGGCATTGCATATTCTGAAAATATTGTCCCAAAAAGGACATCAGACAAGGCAGTCCCACCAGACATAGCACATAGCACTTTTGTGAGATAAACAGCACCACCAGTCAGATGTATTTACAAGTCCTATGTAAAAACAAAGGACAATGATACCACCGCATGATCACTTTTTAATTTTGCTAATGAGCTACACTTGCCAAGAAGAGTTTTTTGAGCTAGTGTGAAAGATTTGTGGACTTCTTCTTCTGTGAAAGTCATGCCAAGCTCCCTTTCCCATTCTGTATAGTAAGGTCTATTGGGGTAGGATAAAGAAGGAGGTTATAGAAGAGAGACACTGTGTGATCTGGAGCAGCTGGTGAGTGAATGAAGCAAGGTTTCAGGTGCAGAATCCCAGGCTGTAGTGGGAGCTCACGGTAGGAACATCTTCACTTGGCCATTGGCAGGACACTCTCCCAAGCAGGACATATCACTTATTCACTGGCTAAATCTTGATGCCTTAACCTCCTCAACATTTCCAGAATTGTTCTCTTCCTGACTAATAACACCACAAAACAACTTATTCACTCCTTAGTTACTTCCAACTTTGATTGCTGCAATTCCCTCCTCACTGGCCTACCTTTACACAGGCTATCCCCCCTTCAGTCTGCTATGAATGCTGTTGCTAGACTAATATGCCTTACTAACTGATCAGTGACTGCTGTCCGTCTCTGCCAATCTCTTTACTGGCTTCCTCTACCCCTTCATATAAAATTCAAAATTCTAACCACAACATACAAGGACATCCACAACACTGCTCCTACCTATATCACCAACCTCATATCACCCAAATCATCCTCTCTGCTACTCCCAAGACCTCCTGTTCTCCAGTTCCCTTGTTACATCCTTCCATGCTTGCCCCCATGTGCTACACAGAGCCTCTCCCATCCTCATGAAGTCCCTGTACCTGGAATGTCTGGTCAGCTCCTACCCTGAAAGCTCATTTATTCAGGGAAGCCTACCCCACCTCCAACTAAAAACTGTACCTGAGTCACCTCCATCAGATCCCCTCCAGCAGCTATTACCTTTTGGTCCACCTCCCCCTTCCTTTAGATTGTAAACTCCCTGAGCAGGGCCCTCTATTCCTTCTGTATTGAACTGTGTTGTAATTGTACTGTCCCCTTTTATATTGTAAAGTGCTGTGTAAACTGTTGGTACTAAATCCCATATAATAATAATAATAATAATGTTGGTATGAAATCCCATATAATAATAATAATAATCATCATTCTACTATTTTGATCTTCTACTACATATCTAACCTTGTCTAACCAAATAATATGTTTGCCAAGAATTTTCCTCTGAAACTTCATTGGAATAATCAATTCAATTTTTAAAGAATGAAGTGTTGAGCAAGTAGGTTTGCCCCCCACTGATATGTGAAATGTAATTAAGCTTTTTTGTAGTGTTTTCTGGCTTTTTGGTATCATTTTTAATATTTTTTTTACTAGTTCCTGGACAATCAGGCAAAAACTAAAATCCAGTAGCGCCATGGGGACTGTTACTGGTAGATATTTCCCATAATCTTAAACTATTGTAATTTACACACATTTTATTCTTTACTGAAATGAATAATTAAAAAAAATCAGTGATGAATTTTCTAACAGCTTTTTTTTAGTTCTTTGTTCCTCAGACTGTATATAATTGGATTCATCATTGGGGTGAGAACAGTGTACAATAATGCTAAAACCTTATTTAGGGTCTTTGTCTGTCCCCTATTTAGGTACCAAATAAACACAAACTAGGGTACCATAATAAATGGACACAACAGTCAGGTGGGAGCTGCATGTTGAGAAAACTTTCTGTCTGCCAGTAATAGACGGGATTTTCAATATGGTGACTATAATATAAGAATATGATACCAAGATGGTTAAGAATGGGAAAATGACAAATATAAAACCCAAACCTGTCACTTCCAAATGAACAGTGGTGGTATCAGAGCAGGAGAGTTGTATGATTGGATCCAAGTCACAGAAAAAGTGATCAATGACATTGGGACCACAAAAATTTAACGTTGATATGGTTAAAATGTTAGTCAATACTAAAAAAATCCCTAAAATCCAAATTGTGATAACCAGTATCCAGCAAACCTGGTAGTTCATTTTCAAAGTATAATGCAATGGTTTACAGATGGCCAAATATCTGTCCCAACTCATCACTGTCAGAAGAAGAGATTCTGAAGATTCTACGATCAGAAAGAACAAAAATTGAGCGAGGCAATCAGAAAATTTCATGGCAGATTGTTTTACCAAGACAGTATGGATCATGTTGGGAAGAATATCAGTTGCCAGTAAGATATCCAATATAGACAGATTGGAGAGAAAGAAGTACATGGGGGAATGGAGGGATTTGCTGTAGGACACCAGTGTGATGATCAGGAGGTTTCCACATATTGTCACACAATAAAGTATAAGAAAAATAAAAAACATCAAAAATGTAATACTTTGTGGAATCTGAAATCCTAAGAGGTGGATTGTGGTAATTCTGGTCATATTTCTCTGATCCATTGCCTGAAGGCAGAAGATTGCAATTTTTAAATCAGCTTTGCACAGTTGGTGTATTTGTTGATGATGATGATTTGAATTCAGTTTGAATTGAAAAGAAGAGAATAAGTAAAGAGTTAACATTAAAGATTTAACATATTACAGTCATTTCAAAATTAATTTTCAAAACTTTTTAAGTCTGAAACTTTCATTAAGGGGGAACTTTGCGTACATTATAAAAATAGGTGACCAGACAGGATTTATAATGCAGAAGAGACTTGCTTTCTGTTTTCTGCAATAAAGTTACCTACTTGCCTGTTCACCCTTGTACAGGGAGCTGCGCATATGCAGTTCACTGTACAAATTTGGCAATGCTGAAGTTGACGGAACTCCCACACATGTGCACGAGTGACATGATCCCTGCCCAGTCAATAAAAGCGGTCGGTGATTGAGACCTGGAAGCCATCTGCTCAAAGATGACAGTGGCCAGTAGGGAGTTCTGGGATGCCACATTGCTGGAGCCAAGGTGATTGTAAATCCACTTAAAAATATTACCTGGTGATCTTTCCATAAAGGTCATAATCAGGCATTCCATGTTTTGGGGTGACAACACATTCAATTGTCTGCCACTTTTATGCCTGTATTATCACCCTGTCACAAGGGCTCACAAAAATGTAAGGTTTTTATTTACATGTAATGCTGGCATGGTCCATGTTTGTCACCATGAGCCCTCAATGGAGTGTATGTAGACATAAAATAACAAAACAATGGCTACAGGAAAACAGTAGTACTGAAATGCAAAAAAAAAAAGGAAAAAATATGAAAACAAGTACAGGTGTGTATTTTTTAAATTAACTATTCATTTATGTTTATGATGCAGAGGGTTTTAACAGACTGAATTAAAGTGTGCAATAGCCAAATTATGTTCCAATTTTCTGGAGAAAAATCAAGTGAAAAACACACATTGTGATTGGTTCATATTTCTTACCGTATACCGTATCATCTCTAAACAGAAGCAAAAATAAAATACCATCATGGCAGTTAAGATCAAATATCAAATGCTCCAAAATACTATCTGTAGTAAATCATAATATCAAAATCCATCCAAAATATCTGCAATGATAGAGAACTCGTATTTACTTACAGAATGTAATAATCAGGAAAATAAATCAGCCCAAAGATGTTTGGTCAGTGAATGTTAAATGTGTTTCAATGAGTACCCTTTCTGCTGATATAAATACCTAGAATTAATTGAACTGAAACACTGGGAGTCTGCAGAGCTTAGTATAATTTTCTTGGGATTTATTAATTTTACTACATAGGGAAATAATTTTGTGATGATTTATAAATAACTAGAAATAATTACAGTCTGTAATGCTTATTGATATCCTCTTGGGATTAATTATATTACTACATAGGGAACTTATTTATTGATATTTTATCTTTTAGAAAATGAACCCAGTACAACCCTAATGCCTAAAGCCAAAATGTTTTGGTATTTTTGGATAAGATAAAGTTGAGTTATATATATTTGAACAATCTTTTGTGAGTATTTGAATCAAATAATGTGAATGAAACACTTGTTATGGAACTACCGCACTACTGGTAGTCTTTGTATCCTGATGTAATGGTTTCAGATGTTAGAACTTACTGTTGGAGAAAAAAATTTATATTTCTTCTGGCTGTGCTGCTTTAACTATTGGCTTTGTCTTCCCTCACAGCTCAAACATTATGAAATGTCCTATTCCCTTAAGTATGTGGACGTACTGTTACCACTATTGATGTCTTACCTTAACACTTTGACCAAGACTGGTAGTATCCAGGTGGAAGTGTTATAGGAGCACATTATGGTTCTACCAAAGTTAATGAAAGACACATCACTGTGCCAAAGTTACTTCCCTATCTCCTGGTTAAACATAGATATAAAGATATAAAAATAATGGCCACAATCTTAGTGAATCTGCTTAAAGTTTTTATTGGTGAGATAGTTCACAAGGTCTAAGTGAACTAGGGTAGAGACAATTCCCAAAGGGTGATTTCTCTGATATATTTGGCCACAGTTCACAGGCTTCCATGTCTTGTCCTCTTATCTGACAAAAAAAAAGCCTTTGATAGGCTGGATTGTTTGTTCAGATTGCTTGTGTTACAAAGGAGCAGGCTGGGGTACAGGATGTGGGCATGGATTTATACTCTTTATGACAACCCTGTTCTCAAGTGAGAGTCAACCAGGTATGTTTGCCCCCTTTTAAAATTTCCAACGGGACTAGGCAGAGGTGCCTTCTGTCTCCCTTGCTTTTCATTGTAGTGAGGCCTTCTTGTGTAAGTTGAGGGTGATCCCCAATACCACAAGGCTGAAAGTAGGCTCTACTGAACACAAACCGACCACATTTGTGGATGACATTCTCTTTATTTATCAGTAATCCTTGGGTAGCACTCCCGAACTCACTGAATGAAAAGCAATGGTTTAATGACCTTTCCATTTTTAAGATAAACTTAGCCAAATCTGTAATCGTGCCTTTCAATGTTTCCCAAGCAGACAGGAAGATTACGGAGGACTTATTCCCTTTTAAGTGGCAGGATGACTTGATTACTTACTTGGTCATCAAACTAACAGCCAATACAAATGACTTGTTTAAGGCTAACGTCCCCTCCCTGCTGAATATAGTAAAAGCGGATCTGACAACTTGGTGGAAAGCCCAATTCACTTGACTTGGGAGGATCAACATTTTAGAAAATAACGGTCCTTCCCAATTTTTTTTTTTTTTCCAAATGCAACCCATTAAAATTTCAAAGGCACATTTTCTTTAGGCTAGATGTGAATTTGCCTCCTTCGAGTGGGGAACCTCCACATTTGTCTTATGACCTTATTCTACAGGCCAAAACTCATGGTGGCTTAGGTCTTCCAGACCTTTTCCTATATTATCAGGCAAAAGTGTTGATGCTCTTAGTTAACTGGTATCTCCATACTCAAGACAAAATCTGGGTACCCTTTGAGAAAACTTTTGCAGGTTTTAACCTGGTACATACACTTTAGTTGCAGTGAACACACAGGGGGCTTTCAGACACACTCTCCCCTCTCTCATGCTACCTTGACAATCTGGGATGGACTGAATAAAAAATAGGATTTAGCCAAACACTATACACTGCTTTCTCCTTTGGGGGGATTTTCCTGGTTTCCCTCTGAGGAAGAGCTGGCATTTTTCTGGTCCTGCGGAGGTTCTACTGAATAACGATGCTACCAATTTATGATGGGCTTGGAACTGAAGTCCCTCTGGGTTAAAAGACAGGAGTGGGGTACTACCACATGGGATGAGTGGAAATATCTTCAGTTGCAGACATTTTTTAAAAAGCTTAGTTTCCCTGTATACTCATGTAACTCCCTCTCTCCTTTTGAGGCTTTATGCCTCAATCAGGATCAGTATATAGGACTGCTATCTATGCTCTATAAATTACTGCTGGACTTTTCTTTCCTGCACTGTGCCCTATTATATTAGGGAATGGGAGAAATAATTTGGTCATGTCTTCTCAGCCAGTAGCATAGATAAAATCAGTGTTAGCCCATACCTTACATAGTTAGTCTGGCTGAATAAAGACAAAAGTCCATCCAGTAAAACCATACCTCCTCAGTTAGCTTCAAGACTCAAGAGTTCTGCTATAAACTTCTGTCATGATGGTATCAGGTCTCGGATAACCTGTCTCATTTACTGTATATACAGGGATATCGGTAATCTGTTGGAGAAGGTGTGGACAGACAGGTACATTCTTGCATTTGTGGTGGGCATGTCCCTTATTAGGCCATTTTGGGTGAAAGTATGGAACCTGATAGTTAGGGTTACTGGGTATCCATTACAAGATATGCCCTTCCCAACCCTTTTTCATGATATTCATCTGTCTGTGGGCTCATACAAACATTCCTTGGTACTCCATCTTCTAAATGTGGGTAAGAGCATTATACACTTTGTTGGAAGTCCACGATAGTGTTTACAATAAAATAATGGCTGCTGAGGGTAGATGGAATACAACATGCAGAGGAATATAGATACCAGAGTTATGATAATTACAACAGGTTCTATAGTATCTGGGTTCTGTGGATTGATTTCACTACCTCTGACTTGTACAAACAGCTATCAAGATACAAGTGGGCTACCAAGCTCTTAAAAATAGACTCACTAAAATAACACATCTACCATGGGAGCTAAATACCCCATGCCATAATAAATATACAGTATGCAGTACATAAAAAGGCATAAATAAAGAAATAAGTGTGACAACCAGGCCTTTGCTGACATTTTTGTTTACATGTAAACATCTGATTTATTGCTAGAAAATTACTTAGAATCACCAACCGTTTTATATATATATATATATATATATATATATATATATATATATATACCGTATTTGCCGGCGTATAAGACGACTGGGCGTATAAGACGACCCCCCTACTTTTCCTGCTAAAATTTAGTGTTTGAGCTATACTCGCCGTATAAGACTACCCCTCTTCCAATGCACACCAGTGGCAGGAATAGTGCCCCATCATTGGTATCAGTGGCAGGAATAGTGCCCCATCATTGGTATCAGTGGCAGGAATAGTGCCCCATCATTGGTATCAGTGGCAGGAATAGTGCCCCATCATTGGTATCAGTGGCAGGAATAGTGCCCCATCATTGGTATCAGTGGGAGGAATAGTGCCCCATCATTGGCATCAGTGGCAGGAATAGTGCCCCATCATTAGTATCAGTGGGGGGAATAGTGCCCCATCATTGGTATCAGTGGCAGGAATAGTGCCCCATCATTAGTATCAGTGGGGGGAATAGTGCCCCATCATTGGTATCAGTGGGGGGAATAGTGCCCCATCATTGGTGTCAGTGGGAGGAATGGGTGTCCCAACATTGGTGTCAGTGGGAGGAATGGTGTCCCATCATTGGTGTCAGTGGGGGGTGGAATAGCGCCTCATCATTGGTGTCAGTGGGGGGGGGGGAATAGTGCCCCATCGTTGATGTCAGTGGGGGGGAGGAATAGTGCCCCATCGTTGGTGTCAGTGGGGGGGAGGAATAGTGCCCCATCGTTGGTGTCAGTGGGGGGGAGGAATAGTGCCCCATCGTTGGTGTCAGTGGGAGGAAAGGTGCCCCATCGTTGGTGTCAGTGGGAGGAATAGTGCCCCATCATTGGTATCAGTGGGAGGAATAGTGCTCCATCATTGGTATCAGTGGGAGGAATAGTGCCCCATCATTGGTGTCAGTGGGAGGAATAGTGCCCCATCATTGGTGTCAGTGGGAGGAATAGTGCCCCATCATTGGTATCAGTGGGAGGAATAGTGCCCCATCATTGGTGTCAGTGGGAGGAATAGTGCCCCATCATTGGTATCAGTGGGAGGAATAGTGCTCCATCATTGGTATCAGTGGGAGGAATAGTGTCCCATCATTGATATCAGTGGGAGGAATAGTGCCCCATCATTGGTATCAGTGGGAGGAATAGTGCCCCATCATTGGTGTCAGTGGGAGGAATAGTGCTCCATCATTGGTATCAGTGACACCAATGATGGGGCACTATTCCTCCCACTGACACTTGCTGACCCTGTTCTCGTATGCTGCTGCTGCAGCCAGCATATGTGGTTGCAGCAGCACCTCTACACTGACCACTTACCTGCTGGTCCTGCACTCGATTTTCGCGGGGCCGCTCGGCTCCACCCCTCGCCGGTGATTGGCCGCCTGTGTGCCTTTCCTGAGCTACAGTTCTGGCGGCCAATCACTGGTGAGGAGGCGGAGCCGAGCAGCCGCACGAACATCCAGTGGCCGAACTGAAGGCGCAGCCGCGCTTCCTGGACAGGATCGTCGTGGGACCGGAACTAGGTAAGAAACGGCCGCTGCCCACTCCTGTACTTAGTGTCCCTTCCATTGGGGGAAGGGGGGGGGGGCAGCGGCGGCAACGCGCCGCCCCCCTAAAAAGTGTCAGTATGCCGTATACCGGCGTATAAGACGACCCCCGACTTTTGAGAAGATTTTTAAGGGGTAAAAAGTCGTCTTATACGCCGGCAAATACGGTATATATATTCACACACACACTGTTCAAAATAATTAAAGGTTAAAGGAACACTTTTTAATCTGAGTCTAGCATCAAGTCAGCGAAACTCCTGGGATATTGATCTGGTCAGTTAAGTAGCAGAGATGGTTGTTAATCAGTTTCAGCTGCTTTGGTATTAATGAAGTTAACAACAGGTGCACTAGATGGGCAACAAGAGATGACCGCCAAAACAGGGATGGTTTTACAAGTGGAGGCCACTGACATTTTTTTTCCCTACTCTGGTAGCATGATGTGATACCTGGACCATACAGAGGTTGCACTGGCAGCCCAACTCCTCCAGGATGACACATCAATACGTGCCATTGCCAGAATCAATATGTGTCATTGCCAGAAGGTTTGCTGTGTCTCCCAGCACAGTCTCAAGAGCATGGAGAAGATTCCAGGAGACAGGCAGTTACTCTAGGAGAGCTGGACAGGGCCGTAGAAGGTTCTTAACCCATCATCAGGACCAATATCTTCTCCTTTGTGCAAGGAGAAACAGGATGAGTACTGCCAGAGCCCTACAAAATGAGCTCCAGCAGGCCACTGGTGTGAATGTCTCTGACCGAATAATTCGAAACAGACTTCATGAGGGTTGCCTGAGGGCCCGACCTCCTCTAGTGGGCTCTGTGCTAACTGCCGGCACCATAGAGCATGATTGGCATTTGCCATTGAACACCAGAATTGACAGGTCACACCAATGCAGCCATCATCAGTGCTCAGATCAGCCACACCAGTGCAGCTGTCATCAGGACCTTAATCAGCTAGTGTACCTGTCACACCAGTGCAGTCATCATCTGTGCTCTGATCAGCCAGTGCAACCTACCTGTCACTCCAGTGCAGCCCTCAACAGTGCTCTGATCAGCCAGTCTACCTGTCACTCCAGTGCAGCCCTCGTCAGTGCTCTGATCAGCCAGTCTACTTGTCATCACCAGAGCACTGACCAGCCACACCAGTGCAACATTTGTCAGTGCCCTGGTTCAGCCATATAAGTGCAGCTATCCACTGTGTCCCTGAGTGCAGCGTACCCCATGCCAAAAAAATGAATACCAGCAAGGATGCCTTTCAGACTCTGACAATGATAGATGAGATCAGTGGGTAGCTGTCACTATCAGATTCGGATTCTGAGTATAAAACCTGTGGAAAGCAGTAGGTCAGAAAAAAAATCAAAGGGGGAAATTATGCCTACAAGAAAGATGAGGAGTTCTGAAGAGCAGGCAACTGCTAACAGTGCTGTACATAATCCTGATGATGCGGGAGCACAAACAGCACAGCTCATCTGGATGAAAGGCCTAGTACTTGCAGTGGGGTGTCACGTCAGCCACCAAGAATTTGTGTCCATACAAGTCTCCCAGAGGTACTTCCATTACGGCTTCCTTCTTAACCACTCGCCCTCCTGAGGATCCCCCACACTCCTGACCAGGCCACTTTTTCTGTTATGGCGATGCGGTACTTTAACCGACAATTGCGCGGTTATGCAGCGCTGCACCCAACTTAAATTTACGTCCTTTTTTTCCTACTACTTTAGCTTTCTTTCAGTGGTGTTTGATCACTGCATATTTTATTTTTTACGTTCTAAAAAAAAAAGACTGACAATTTTGAGAAAAAAAACAATGTTTTTGAATTTATGCTATTAATCTTGTCTAGTAAAAAATTATAAAAAAATGATTTTGTCATAAATTTAGCCAAAATGTATTCTGCCACATGCCTTTGCTAACAAAAATCCCAATATGTGTAAATTAATTGGTTTACGTGAAAGTTATAGCGTTTACAAATAGTGGTATATACAGTATATACTGGGATTTTTTTTTTTTTTTTTTTTTTTATTAGTAATGGTGGCGATCAGCGACATATGATGGGACTGCGACGGGCATTCTGACACTGGGGGGGGTGAACTGACTTGGTGCCACTGATATCCCCAGTGACACCAATACAGTGATCAGTGCTAATAAAAAACACTGACACTATACTAATGGCACTGGGCAGGAAGGGGTTAACATGAGAGGAGATTAAAGGGTTAACTGTGTGCGGTTTTACTTGTCTGTGTCTGAGTGTTTCACTGTAAGCACACTGATTTCCATGGCTGTGCTGTGCCAGGATCCGGTGATTGACAGCCGCAGCCGTGAATAGTCCCTACCCGGCAAAATGCAAAATGATTTTGCACACCCGTGCCTCCTTGTAGCAGTATTTGTACTATAGAGTGGTCATGAATGCCGTTAATCAGCATCAGCTTGCATCCCCCTTTTACTTCACAGCCAAGAATTCAGGCCAACACCAAAACATTTATACCAATTATTTTTTTATCTATTTTTCATTGCTGGCATATTCCATTTCATTGTGGACCAGAGCAATCTTTCTGCCCAGCAATACATCATGAACAACCCAAATTCATAGTATGACCATCCATTTGAAGAGTCCTGTCAAAGTGCAAGAATTCAAAATATTTCTGGGTCTCACACTTAACATGGGACTTACAATAATAAATGACTGGTTTACAAACATATTCATTACATGCCACTGTATTCATCTGTTATGTCAAGGACACCCTATGACATGGTCATGCATTTCCTTCATTTTAGCGACAATGCATTGTGCCCTCCCCAAAATCATCCTGGATATGATAAACTTTACAAAATTCCTCCATTTATATTTTTTTTCCCAGAAATTTGCTCAGTTGAATACTCCTGAGAAGCATATTTGCATTGATGAGTCCCTCGTCCATTTTACCGACAGGCTGGGAATCAAACAGTACATCCCCAGTAAAAGGAACAGATATGGGGTGAATCTATACAAAGTCTATACAGGGTATACATATGCCTTCCATGTTTAGGAAGGGAAAGATAGTCAGCTGGAGCTCCATTACTGCCCAGCCTATATGAGGACCAGTGAAATAATTATGGGGGACCTTGTATTTCCACTTTTTCAAAAGCTGTACCTCCTCTACGTGGACAACATTTACACAAGTCTGCCCTTTTTCTGCAATTTTTGCCTCCAAAAAAATGTAACCTGTAGTACAGCACAAAAAAATCAAAAGGGCTTCCCACAAAAGCTGGTCAAAACAAGGCTACAAAGGGGGAGTCAGTGATTTTGAACAATTAAGAAGTTTTTGCCCTGAAATGGAGGGACAATTGATATGTATATGATCTGTCCTCCATCCACAATGACGAATTGCAGTAAGGTGTGACACCCATTTTCACAGTCTGCCAATGTCCCTCCAACCAGGACTTTGCAGAGGAGACTGCTTCTGATGTTACCACATGTGATGGAGGGTAGGCAGGACAGAACATACACAGTAGATGGCAAATGCACAAAGCTTTATTGAGACAACAAAATGACAATCACTCAATGCAGGGATTGCAGGGAGGGTGACCTCACCAGTAAGGGGCAGCAAGGAAGGGCTAAAACACTTGTAGTCCAGTGCCAAGAGCAAGGAAAAAGTCTCTGTAGCAGATTGTAATCCAACAGGGGGGTGGGGGGTCACCACAGGAACAGTTCAGGTAAAACAGGGGAGTGTGTATACTCACGGATCCAACAGGGTGCCTGGTCTCCCAGGGATAGGAAGTAGGACACAGGTACCTGTTGGGGTCCAAAATAGGTGGGTGGTCTCTCCCTTTAGACTGGGGTCTCTGCAGCTGGCAGACAATCTCTCCCCTGCACTGGGGTCTCAGGCAGCTGGTAGGCAATCTCTCCCCTGGACTGGGGTCTCAAGCAGCTGTCAGGCAATCTCTAACCTGGACTGGGGCTTTAGGCAGCGGCAGGCAATATCTCCCCTGGACTGGGGTCTTAGGCAGCAGGCAGGTAATCTCTCTAGGCTTGGGTCTCAGACAGGCTTGGATGCAATCCCCCCCCTCTTAGCTGGGGTCTGGGCAGAGTCTGGCCACGAGGGTCCCGACGCAGCTGGGCTCTCTCAGTGGCTGCACAGCAGAGCAGATGACCAGAGCGCCCGGCATCAACTTCTTAAGCTAATGCAGGACACTCTCTGGTTGTCTTGGCAACCGGGGCGGGCCGCAGCTGGCGTGCCTCGTCGCCTGGCAACGAGGCACACCCCCTGGACATGGGCCGTGCCTTCCAATTGATCTGATTTTTTTCCCTGCTGTCACAGTGCGAGGCCCTGCCACTATAATAGTGGGATTGAAGACAACACAGGTGTTCTGGACATTTTTACTGAAATTTTATAGATAGGCAACTATGATCAAATTGATTAGTTGTTCCAATCAATAACTACTGCAGTAGG